AGAGGAGCAGTGGTAGTAACAGTCAGATGAGCAACTGTAAACTATAATGGGAGGGGAGGGGACTCCTTCCACACATTCCTTACAACCACAGATCTTTCAAATCCAAAAGACTGTCAAGGCCAGGTGGTGGTGGCGCACACCTTTAAACCCAGCACCCAGGAGGCAGAAGCAGGTGGATCTCTGTGAGTTCAAGGCCAGCCTGGTCTACAGAGTGAGTTCCAGGACAGCCTCCAAAGCTACACAGAGAAACCCTGCCTTAAAAAACAAAACAAACAAACAAAAAAGGACTGCCAAATATGGTCTCATCTAAACACTTCAGTTTTCAGATGAGAAAATTGGAGCTCAGAATGGGAAAGGGACTTAACCAAAGTCACACAGCCAATTAGTGGCCAAGCCAGGGAGAGATAGATGATTAACAGTGTGTTTAATGTCCAAGTAATCACACATTCCCCTGGGCCAGTGCAGGCTTCATCTCCAGTATACAATCTTGAGGGATACTAGTTGTGGTTTGATTTATGGTCTGATATTCAGAAAATCAAATCATTCTGAGTCAGAATTGGCTCCCCCCAGAGGATAATCAGACATCTTGACATTGACTTATGAGAGAGCCATGTAATTTCTTCATAGCAGGGAAAGCATGTTGGTTGCTGTGATCATTTGGGGAATGGCATCATGAAATCTGCTCAGTTCCCTTTGCCGAGGTTACCCTAACCTGTCTTGAGTCTCTGATCACCACCCCCATCCTTGGGCCATTTAGAATTCATTGTTCTTTCACCTACAGGTTAACTACACCTCCCCCCTGGTGGCAATGCATTTTACAGATGTGGTGAAGAACCAAGCAGTGCCTGTACAGTGCCAGCTGAAGGGCAAAGGCATCATAAATGATGTCATCAACGATCGTTTTGTGGGGAGGATAGTCTTTACCCTGAACATAGAAACCTAGGAACTCCAGGACGCCACTCCCACCAGTTCTGGTTGTTTTGTTTTATTCCTGGTAGCACCTCGATTCCTTTTTCTTCAGTTAAGACACAGCCAGATGGACGCCTAAGACAGCAGATCATCTTTCCTTGCCTTTGACGTGTGTATGAAGTGATATTGTGAGACCTGCTTGGTTTTTTGTAAAGGTCATCTCTCCTGATGACAAATAGACTATATTAATTTCCTCTCCTTCCCTTCAAATTCAGGTCTATTCTTGCTTCTAGAAGTCTCACTCTATACAGACAGTATCTGATAGCATTCACCATTATCAGGACAATGTCTATCATGTTTTCTAAGAATGTGTTGGTTTTAGAGATGATATTATTCCCAGGCAGGTGGATATTCTAACCCCACCCACCTTTAAAACTGCCTTTCTTAAAACACCAACACCAGACAAACCCAGACTATGCTATACCTAAAGCCACTCTCCCTACAGAACTTTATATGGGGGAGGAGACTTGAAAATTTGGCCATCTCCCATAGGC